TCTTCTGATAGCAACCAAATACATGTCATTGGTCCACATCAATCAGTCCTGCAATTCTCCAACACTGACTGCGTGTTCAACAATCCAACTCAATCCCGATGCTAACTATCCAGAGTTAGGCTCAGCCTCCACAGGTACGGGCTCCAGGCTCAGCAACAAATGGAGTTCCTTGGCTACTCACATTTCTACGTGGCTGACTACAAACGGTGGAGACCCTCTGAAGCACCTTTAAATTTGATAATTCCCTAGAACAACTTCCAAAATTTAGAAAACTGCTTTACTTATGATTGTCAGTTTATTATAGAGGATACAACTCAGGAACGGCAACACGGAAGAAACTAGTAAGAAACTAATATGGGGGGCAATGATTGTGCAGGGCTTCCATTGTTAAAGAAAAAATTATCTAATGATACAAGCTTGATATCCACTGCACTGGGATTTTGCAGCAGGAGAGAGAGAGATGAGGCTTAAACTTGAACACAGCACGGGCAAGTGGGAATTTATGGGCAAGGAGAAGCATACAGGTCAGTGGATGGAAAATTATGAAGAGGAAACCTTGGGGGCAAGAGGGATTCTGGTTAAACCACACTAACAGGATTCTTGCTGAAGACAGGCTAGGGTGAGCAGGCATCACCCAGAGAACAGTGAGGATGAACCCGGTCAGATATCGAGGGTGGGAAGTTCCTGCTAAACTGACTTGACAGGATCCTTTGCTAAAATTAGATTTTACAAGGAAGTACAGATGTGCCTAGGAAGAGGTTTGGGAACCTGACTAAAATGTGGTCACTCAGAGAATCTTTGCCCCCATGACCTCTCCAGCCAGGCCAGTCTCCCACCACATCTGTGTTCACCTGCCCCAAAGCTCTCCCAACCCCATCATGTAGGGGTTTCTATGGAGGCTTCATGATGTAGACATTATTGATTAAATAATGGTGATCAGTCCCCATCCGGAAGTTATCCAGCTCCCCCTCCTTAACAAAGAGCCCCCTCTTTAGCATAAACTCAGGTTTATTTGACAGAGACTCCTTTTGAATAACAAGACATCCTAGCACTCAGGAAATTCCAAGGGTCTTAGGACCTCTGTGTCTGGAACTGGAGTCAAAGACCAAAAATACATATTTTTATTATGCCACATAAGTCATAAATAAACTTTTATTATGCTACAAGGCATAAATTTATTTAAAAATAAAATTTTTTATTATGCCACAAGGCAAAAGCCCAGACTCTGGGATTGTTGAATCCAGACTCTTGTTGGGCCCCCCCACCTTAAAGAGTTTTGTGATCCTAAATATTTCAAAATGGAGTCATTTATGACAAGTGACTCAGCCTACAGTGAAACTGCTGAACCCTCAAAATGATAAACACAGGTATGATGGACTGAGGTAATAAGATAATATCTGTGTGGCCAGACACCCCCAAGACCTGACAAGAAACTGAAACCAAAAGGTGGCTGACAAATGACCATGGACACTCCTGCAGAGGGCCATAAAACAGCAAAGAAACTGACCATGGAAGGCACCTGCAGAAGCTCTGCCCAAGAAAGCTCTGAGGCCTCCTCATGATATCCACAGTGGTCCCTGGAGGCTCTGCTCAAGAGCAGCAACTTCGCTCAGCAGTGTTTTGAGGGAAATCCAGAGGTGTGCTAACCTAAACGACAGAAATGGGGTTTTTCTGTTCTGCTTTGCTTTGAGACAGGGTCGCACTCCAGTTGCCCAGGCTAAACTGCATTAGAGCAATCTCAGCTCACTGCAGCCCGACTTCCCGGGCTCAGGTGATCCTTTCATCTCAGCCTCCCAAGTAGCTGAGAGTACAGGCACGTGCCACCATGCCCGACTGATTTTTTTTTTCTATATTTTTAGTAGAGACGGGTCTCGCCATGTTGGCCAGGCTGGTCTTGAACTCCCGGGTTCAAGTGATCCACCTATCTAGTCCTCTGGTTGGGTGTGAAAATATGGCCCAGTTCTGGCCAGTGGAGAAGGGAACGGGTCATCTGAGGGACTACTCCCTGAAAAAAAGACTAATGATGAGAATCACCTTTCCCTCCATCTTTTGGGCATAGCCAGGTGAAAATGGGTCACTCAAGGCTGCTACAGGCATGGGAGTCCCTGCAGGGCAACAGTGCAGACCCAGGACCAGTGCAATGGAGACAGCCTGCGGAGTCCTTGGTGACCTTGGTGAGTCACTAGATCCAACCTGAGTCACCCTCTTCCTGCCTTTCTGTTACCGAGACAATGGGTGTCGAGGCTGTTGAAGCCCCTTTGAGTTTAGTTCTGCTTCTTGTACCCAAATGCATTTTAATGGGGCTATGAGCTCCTGGGCTCCACATGGTCTAAGGTAGCCCTCACCTCCAGGGCATCCCCATGGCATGAAGCACCCCCTCTGGCCTTTCCCCAAGACTTCTCCCAAGACTTCTGGTCCAATATTTTCTGGGTGTCGTTACAAGACAATGTCCTATACGGTGCACTGGGGATTGACATCTCCCTGCCTCCAAGTGCCTCCCCTTCCTGGAGTAGGAAGAGCTGCCCAGGATTCTTGTTAGAAGAGACCTTTATTTTGGCTCACACCTGTAATCTCAGCACTTTGGGAGACCGATGGGGGCCAGATCACAAGGTCAAGAGATTGAGACCATCCTGGCCAACATGGCGAAACCCCGTCCCTACTAAAAATGGAAAAATTAGCTGGGGATGGTGGCGGGTGCCTGTAATCCCAGCTAC